TCGGTGGACTGACAGCAGCTGGTGGGTCGGGGCGCACGTCCGTGCTCGACACGAGTCCAGTCGCGAAGAAGTCTGGGAGCGTCTGCTGTAGGATGTAGGTGGCGCGACCTGCGTACACGGCACGACTGAGAGGTAGTATCAGGCCGTCGTTTATATGATACACCCCGCACTACGCGAATACGCAAACACACCTGTGCGAATTTCCCATTCCTGATCCGAAATCTCAGGATCCTTATGGCCCTGCGGGTCTTCCGGACTGAACGGTGGCTCGCTTTCGTCTGAGGTCGATAGGAGAGTCTGTCTGGGCGAAAGCAGAGCAGCAACTAGAAGGGTACCATATTCAGCTGGGTGGTGGGCCATTGAGCAACGATCCGCGCGAATGTTGTGTGGTAAAGACGGGTACATTCGTTCCGCATCCGGGGGCCCTGAGACGGACAGACCGACGTTCGCTGCTGCCATCGACACCAGTCGCCTTGGCAGGAGGCTCACACATTTTCTGGAGTAGCCTCTGCATGTTGTTAGTATCGATATCGGCGATGATAGTGAGGATAAACGACGGAGACAGCAGAGTGTGGAAGAAGACATTGCCAGCCCGACACAATACCCTGACGTCGTGCGTTCTTCGTTGGTCAAATCTACGTTGAATATGATATCATAATGTGTCACAGCGCAGCATGTATTTAAGGGCACATGGTGTAGTTGGTTATCACATCCGCTTAGCACATAGCTTGTGAAATGCGGAAGGTGCTGGGTTCAATTCCCAGTGTGTCCATTAACGAAGCTGACCTTTTGTTTCTTCTCTCCCTCGGTTTTGTTTGTTTGTTTGGTGTAAGGCTTCAACTGTTTAGTTTATGTGTAAATTTCTTTTTGTAAACACACAGTAAGCAGTTCTAAACATTTATAAACAATAAAAAAAAGTAATCAAACAGTTAGTACAGGTGTTTGTTTGATCATGCTGAAATGGCTTCTGATAAAACTGTGCAAGCCCATCCACTTAACACAAATACCTTCCATGCTGGTTTGAGCCCAAAAAGGAGGGCACAAAAGTTGATGCTACACCAGTGGGTGGTGGTGAGGTCAAGCCAACCTCATGACAAGGTTTTAATAAGACATGCATCAGATATCACAAATTGATCTGGTTTCAGGGTCCCAGCAGGATAGTTCAGCCAATTTTGAATCAGTGTTTGCAAGCAAGCCTGGAACAAGCTTTGGCTCATGATCAGAATAGTGCTGGCTGGATGTTGCATCAACCTGAGCCTGGGACCTGTTGTGGGCGTAGCCCTGCCCTGTATTTTTTGGAAGCATTCCTAAGGTGCTGTGCTATATCTGTGACATAGGTGTTTGGTGGTGCAGTGGTGCAAGGTTAGGCTTGGATTTAGGCTGGTGAGTTAAAGTCTGGCTATTGCTAGCTGAACCCAAAATGTCACCTAAATTAGAGTTCTGAGCCTGTACTGTGGTGGACATCTCACTGTGTCTGCTGAAACATATCACACTTGAGATACCAGCAAAGATTTAATGCAGATGTAGTGTATGTTGGGTGTTCAAATACGAAGGGTTGGTATGTGCAGTATATTGGACCAGACAGTGCTCACATCATGCATAGGATGACTGCAGCTACCCTGGTAGTGTGCAGTCATCATACCCCAAATACAGGACAAATCGTGGTCCAACATACACTTGATCTGGGTAAGAGCACTTTGACGGTTTCACAAATTATGATACAATATTTGTACTAGATATGCCCCAAATACATTTATCATTCAGACCGATATACAAATTTAGAGTACTCTTTAATCTCACCAGAGCACTAATCCGAGCACAATCTTATCATCACGGCAGGTGTTGCACTGCTCGCGATCTACACCTTTTTGACCTGCCGCCTCCACCTACTATTCATTAGTTGGAGTACCAATATTGTGTGCTGACACCCTGTATACGATGTGGTCAAACTAGGCTGATATGAGTACCAAAGGCTGTAACTCACTAGAGGTCGCACTGGCAGAGAAGACGGCACCCATAAGCAGAGGCAAAGAACCACACCACAACGGCATGGTACTGCTGCATCAGCCACTGGTCATTGACTGCATGTTCAGCTTTCTTTGTGTTACACAATGCAGCTACAGTGAATATCCTGGTAGTTTCACTTCAAGAAATCAGCCTTTGTTGTTCAAAAGAGTGAACAGTGTGCACTCACAGATGTCTACTCTCTGCCTTCTCCTCAGCTGTCACTAACATGAGTACTTCAGATGACTCACAGCCTTTTGACTTCAATGTGGAATACTTTAGCATGCTGACGCCTGAGCAGTGTGACCAAGTCAGAATCATGCTAGCAGGGATGCAGTCATCTGTAAGCATATCAACTCACTTTGATAAATGAATTTGCACATGATACGGATACTTGCATTTGCAGATGACCCAGCCACCCATCCAGTCCACTACAAGTTCTGCAAGCGGCCCATGATACCTCCCTCTAGCTGCACCAGTTCCAGTACAATGAAAGTGAACCTGAGTACAGAGGTCTTACCCTTTGCCCAAATTATGTCAAACTTGTCCATGACACGTGCAACTCAGCAATCAATGGAACTGGGCAAGCCTAGCACCTCTTGGTGGTACTGTTTCTTGCTCTCTTCATCTGGAAACTCCAGGCTGCATTGAGGTGGCCAACCTGATGACTTCACTTTTTGAACCTTTGGCATATCAAAGGGCTTGGTGGTCAAGTGAGTTTAACCTTGGTGGGAGCTGCCCTATGGCAGAATAACTCTCTAATGGCCGCAGATGTTAGTACATTATACAGTATGAATACGCAGAGTATGTTGAGGCTAGATACCTCTGAAGTAGGTGAGGCAGGCAAACTGGCATATTGGATGTAAGTGAGGCACTAGACACACCACACATCAGAGATAGGTTGGGTCATGATATACGACGGCAGCCTCAGCAACACGAACCAGTGCTTAGTTCATTATTGCGATGTGGCTCACACATACATACACACAAGCTATGCTACATACAGGTAATGTACACTAGATACTATCTGAAGTAACGGCGTATCTTGACATCATATAGTTTCTAGCAAATGCAGTATTTCATCTGTTATGGACCCTTGATATGTGTTTAGCCATAGTTTGTACAGGTGACTTGATAGTTAAGCGACTGTGCTTCTGGACTGTCACTAGAGTGGATACTCGATGTTGATCAAAGAGTGAGGCGTGAACCCAGAGAGTCATGCGTGATGACACATCCAGGCTGCTGCTAGGATGACAGAGTCTGGATCATCAGCATGATTGTGGTAGTGAGCTGATGATGTGGCTGCTGAGTCAGGATGTCTGATGTAGTCAGGATTGAGTGTTCCTTGTTGATCAGACTCCTGATGGCAATCGTAGGACTGTATTACTGAGGCGGCTATCCACTGAGACAGTGTGAAAGTCTGCAGCTGATAGAGCATAGTGTATGATGTGTGCCAGGCCAACGAGGTTTGGATGTTTAATGCTGATCAGACTCCAAAGGACAGGAGTCAGCTTTGATGATGTGTGAGACCGGTGGAGGTTGGACGTCTGATGCCAATCGGACTCCACTGGAAGATGCTAGAGAGCTGTGCAAATAGCCTCCTTGATGGCGGTGTTATGTGGACAGGTCAGGCACGTTGATGTGCTGATGTGCTATGGAGGTGTGAGAGTAAACTGGCACTAACATGAGGGTTTGGATGCTGACAACTTTCTAGACATTGTACAAACTAGGGAAAAATTGTAGAAATACAGAGAAAAATATAGGGCAGGGCTATGCCTACAATAGAACCAGCCTATGAACACATGCTGGAGCACAGACCATATACCATATATAGTAGCTCACACAAAATATATTATATCAAAAATGTCAATCAGAATATATTTGGGCTCTCAGAGTGTACATCACCAAATATCAACTAATGGACTAGGTACTGCATTAGGCTTCTTCATCTTTCTATATATTGCTGATGTGTCACTTCCACCAGCCTGAAACTTGTCATTCAAGCTGCAGAAAAGTTTGGCATGTTCTCATAGTCAACACTTTATATGGAGGCATAAGTAATAAAAAGCTTACCAGCACATGTTCATCTGCCATAGCTGAAGCCCCTTATCTACAGCCTCTTGGTCACCTGTGAGTGAGATCTGAGACATGCCACGTACACGATTAGCCTGACATAGTACTAGTAGAGTTGACAAGGAGTTACATACCAGAAAATGAGCCTTCTAACTCTCAACTATCCATTGCTGTGTTAGCTGCAACACCATAGGTCTTGCTGCAAGGAGGAATGAGGAAGAGGGGAAAGAGTGAGAGATAAGAGACAAGAAAGTGACACTGGCTTATGAGTGATTGCACCATCAGTTTAGAGCCGGTGCTGAATGACTTGAGAAAAGGCGTGCGTCACATGCAAGCATCTGCGCTAGGTAATGAACCCACCTGGAAACCTTGAAATTGAACAGACACCTGGGGCGGACAATAGAATGATGCTAGAAGAAGGCAAAATGAAGGGATGAGATATGAGATTGAATTGTTGTCACATTGATGTGGAAGCATGGCTTGATCTGAGGTTGATTCTACGCGTGCTTCGCTGACATCAGACTGACTGCCTGGCTCACCCTATGGTGTAGAGCGGCACGGCCTGCGGAGGTGCTCACTCAATGCACAAGAAGACAAAGCTGCAACTTCCCATCCAAGATATCAATATTCTTGATAGGTCCAGCATGACAGAGGGCTGTAGGCACACAAAAGTCCTAATCAGCAAGAGTAGCATCACAAGGTAGCATTGTATCTGAGAGCAGCCATGCTTGACATGAGTCCTGTTATAAAGAAGTCTGGAAGCGTCTGCTGCAGAGTGTAGATTGTGCAACCTGCACACACGACATGGCTGTGAGGTAGTATTAGGTCATTGTTTATACCACGTGCCTTGCAAGCCAAAAAAGAGCAAACATACCTGTATGGATTTTTCATTCCTGGTCTGAGATCTCAGAATCCTTATGGCCTTGCGGGCCTTCTGGACTGGTCAGTAGCTCACCCTCATTCTAGATCGACAGGAGAGTCTGTTTTGGTGAAAGTAATGTGACAGCTAGGAGCATATCATACTCAGCTGAATGGGCTGCTGGAGCACTGTGCATATAAATATTGTGCAGCAAAGCCAACTGAACTAGTCCTGCATCTGGAAGCTTCGAGACAGGATAAACCAATGTTTGCTACCACCACTGATGCCAGCTGCTCCCGCAGAAGGCTTATACACACCTTAAAGCGGTCCCTGCATGCTGTGAGTAGTGACATTGATAATAGCAGAGAAAATAGACAACAAAGGCAGTAGGTGGGAGAAGACATTGCCAGTCTAACGTATGTGTTGATGTTGCATCAGAAAGTCCCCAGAGATGTAAGTAACGTGTAAGAAAGTTTAGGGCCTACTGTAAGTAAATAAGCCCTGTAATTTACATTATTTACTG